TTCGGCAGAGAGCTCCAAACTGGAGTAAATTTGTTGTCGTCCTTCATCCATCCCCAATTAACTGGGTCTTGTTAAACTCTGAGGGCATCTAGACAGTTTTACCACTTCCTGGATTGTAGTACAGATCGTTTGACATGTTTCTTTAATGCAGCTGATGTTGGAGGGTATTCTCTACTGCCTTTCCCCAGTTGTAAATAGGTATCACCTTACATCATTTATCTTCTTACCATCAAATGTGCCGCTAGCAACAACCAACTGTTCTAGTGTCTGTTTCACTAACATCTCCTACAGATTCTCTAGAATACTGGAGTCATACATGGCATCTTTTTCCAAGTTTCGTTAAATGATGGTTTACCTTACCTTGAACAGATGAAGTTGTGTCACAACCGCTAAAGTAGTGAAAGGACAATTGTGAGCGGTTGATATCTGTGGTCCCAGAGAAGTAGCAATCGTGTGTATTGGAATGTACTTTAGGTGCTTCCTCTCGAGCCAAAGCTCCTGGATGCCATGCAGGTATTCTGTGGAAAGCTGACAACTCAATAGCAGCAACATCACTGTCTACAGTCTTGACAAGAATGCGTGGACAATTTTCAGCAGCATGTTTAACATGAACAAACATACGTTCATCTGCCTCTTCCATACATAGCAATGGTTGGAGATCTACATACTGGTTTGCTACAGCTCCGTCTCCCAGAGACTCTACAAACAATCCGTGGTTTGTGTCAATGTTCTCAACTACTTTGTTTACAATTAATGGAAACACTCTGATTTGTTGTCATCACATCTCATGAATGTAGACCAATTGTTGGGCATACTCCTACTTTGATGACCCTCCTCACACCAAAGCCGCGGTTCGAACGCGTACCAGACTTTAAACTGTCTTTGAAGTAGGCCTATGTGTGTAGTGTAAAAAAATTCGACATCAATCGGAATCGATGCCGAATATTGACTAATATTGTATATTTTTTGAAAATATTTCAGCCGTTCCAAATCTGTATCCTATTCTTCCTTCTTCCTCTATTCTTTCACAATTTGCATTTATTCATACTTTTTATTCATAATTTTATACACTACACACATAGGCTAGTCAATAGGTTTAGGCCTTGGCTATGCCTATTACTATATTATTTAAATATACAATTTTAATAGATAATATTAATTTAACATAGACATAGTAATTCATACACTATTTTTTTGTGCTTTTAGACCAAGTGGTTGAGGAGTTAGGATCATCATATGTTGTATAAAGGTCATTGACCTCTGACCCTGAATATTTGGTCAACGCAGCTACTAGAAGGTGGCAAAAATGTTTCAATAAATGTTGATCCCAAAAACCTAGGTGTAGCCACTATTTTTGTGCATCTAGGCGAACTGGTTGAGGAGTTATGATAATCATAGTTGTATAAAGGTCATTGACCTTTGACCCTGAATATTTGGTCAACGCTAAAAGGCAAAAATGTTTCCATAATTGTTGACCCCTAAAACCCAGGTGTAAATACTATTTTTGTGCTTTTAGAGCAAGTGGTTTATGACCCAGAACATGTTATATAAAGGTCATTGACCCTTGACTCTGAATATCTGGTCAACGCAACTATAAAAAGGCGGCAAAAATTTTTCCATAATTATTTACGTATAGACGTACAAGAATATACAAAAAGTCCTTTTATTAGAGTTTGTTGAAGGTTAAACCATATTTAGCCTCTACTAAAAGTAAACGTTAAGTTGGTATTCTTATAGGACTCTCACCCTTGAGGTCGGAGATTCGGAAGAGAGATTGGCCATTAGGTATGTGAGCCGAAAGCTTCAGGTTTTGACCATTACCTTACCTTCATTGTTTTAAATAAACAGAACAATCATCTGATGTGCTTTAAAATTTTGACGTAAACACTAATGACTGGCAACAAAGATATCATAAATACTAATGTTATTTATTTTTTTTTCACAGGAACAATGAACATACACACCTCTCTATTGCCTGCCTCTTGACCCGTTGCAACATATGGACGTATAAATTCAGAGTCATCGGATTCCGGTAGGTAAAATGTTGACGACCTCAATTGCTCCTGTTTTTCATGAAATCACAATTGTTTATATTTAAGCCATGCTAAATTTGTTTTTCTATTGGTGCTCCGCTTCACCAGCGGATCACCTCTTGTTATTGTCAGAGATTATCATTTTTTTTATTCTTCTTCCCTTCTCTCCTTTTCTGTTCGCACGATCTCAAAATTGCCGCGATCTACGCACATGGCAGCTTCAAGAAACATTTGGCTTGGCCTGGAATATTCACAGTAAGCTTTTCAACTTGCTCAGTCTTGTGTGACGTCATCTACGAGCAATTTTGCGTTTTTACATTATCGATCATATCATTCAAACCAATTGTCATTTCTCAATCATATTTAGTGGGCATAAACTTCAGGTCAAGGTTAAATATCACGTACCAAAATATTTTACGTGCACGTCATAACACGTGCGCACGCGTGCTTCGGAATGCTCATAATCACTTTTTGACTAATTAGAGCACGTTTTAGGCCATTTTGAGCATTTCAACATTTTTGAAATTTTCCACTACGCACGCGCATTTTTATGCGTGCAGCACGTACGGAAGCTAGAAATTATGTATTTTGTTTTAAATATTTTGGGTTCCTGATATTGTTTTCACGAATTTCCATTTTTTCAGTCATCTTATGGCTAATAGCAATGCCGTACGCACGCATCAAACATAGTGATCTTTGCGAGCGTTTGTGCAGATATAAAGTGAAATTATGCTAAAATTAGGCCTGTTTTTAAACAGTTATAGCTCCTTAAGATGAAAGGTGACCCCCAATTATTAAATATTCTGAAAGCACATGAGTTGTAAATATAATTTTATAGCTCACTGAACGGACATTGTGACGTCATCAAATTGCAATATGATTTTTTTTTAAACCAAATTTTATCTATGACGTCATTTTTGAAAATACGCATTTGAGCGTATCTCGCTTATCCTTGATCTATCGTTTCCCATCTTTAAGTATGTTTATAGCTGAGACAATTCTCTTTCATACATGGGACTTCTTTTTATATTTCGATGACGTCATCATGGTCACAATATATGTTTTTTCTGACCCCCTCATCTTTCTTTCCTCAAAACGTTGATGACCCCATAATCATCTTAACCATTTGTCATTTCTGAATCATATTCAATGGGAATACACTTTAGGTCAAGGTTGAATGTCAGCAAAGATACTAGAAATACAAGATAGAGCACTCGCATTGTAAAAATGAGGCGGAAATCGTGCCCAAAGTAGGCGGCGCCCTTCTTTTTAACCATGCAAGGTTTCTATACTTTGTGCCTAACGTACAGGGCGCCCTTCTCTTGCTAAGTATATCCAGACGCAAAAGGCGCCCTTCCTTTTCCACTAATGGAGGAAAACTTTTTCACTAAGAGTGCGTCCGGCCATACGATTCTGCGCTGTATTGTTGTTTTTAATTCTTTACTGATTCATGATTATGCTTTATAATTGTTTTGTGTTTTATTGGATAATAGCAACGATTTCTACCGCTACCAAGGAGGTTATGTATTTCACCGATGTCACTGTCTGGGTGTCTATTCCAGTTTGTTTTTATATCTAGTAAATAAAAAGTGATTGGTAAAAACTCATAATACCGGTACGGGACGTCGGTAAAGAAGTGCAAAATACAGTCATCATTATGAATTCTTGTGCTTTATTGATCCATACTATTGGTAGGCCTATTAGTTCAGGATTTCAATGCTTTTCCAACCCATTATTATTGACATTGAATACAATAAAAAGTACTGATTCATAGGAATTAAATTCTATTTTTTTTATGAATGCCGAGAATTGAGTAGGCTTAAGACTACCTAAAATATTAATAGTCTTCCAAGCGAAAATTATATGAACATTTTCTGTGATCACAGTTATTAATTCTGCCTTCCTATATAATAATAGGCTAGACGACTTTCACTTTATACTAAGGCCCATTCCTTAAAAAAAAAAAAAAATATGATGGTATTATTACTTAGAGTTTATATTATTACTTAGACTTTGGTCCCAGATTAAGTAAAAAAAAATTAGCTTTATTATTCTAATTAGAGACTAAAAAGCGGATATAGGCTATGATAGGTAGGTAGACCATGGAAATCCCGGTCCAAAAAGTGGTCTTAAGTAATTAGAGTTAGACCTGTATTAATATTATTAAATTTCCTTTACCAAAAGAGCTCCATTTTCACGTCATTCATAAATAACTGCATACAATACTAGCGTTATTATACGAACGAGTAATATATTTTGTGCAATATTTTACCTTTCTCTATCCTTTGGAAATCGATATAAATTATGACCCTGTTTGTATGATGTGTTGCAATTTACTGCACAACAACGCCCTCCAATGCCATACGTCGCCATATCGCATCGCGGTGTACAATTTTTTAGAATTGATAAGAAAATACGCGACAACTTGGTAACGAAAGTTTGGCAGAAGTTTTTTTTAGATCCAGCTGTAGGGGGCGTCCCATTGTTTGTATTCCCACCATGCATTTCGGTGGAACACTTTTTTTGTGTGGAGAACTCTATCTTGTATTTCTAGTATCTTTGATGTCAGGTACCTTAAATTACCGTTCACGCGCCTTAACGTGCACGTACGCGTGCGTCAACATTTATATTATGATTAAAATTATGCCTATATTTAATCAGTTATATCTCCTTAGGAAGAAAGGTGACCCCAAATTTTATTACATATTATGAAAGCACATGAGTTGTAGATATGATTTTATAGATCATTATGGCTGATCGGACATTGTGACGTCATCATATTGCCATCTGAATTTAAAAAAACTGAATTGTTATATATGACAAAAATTATGAATGATAATAAGTCCTCACCAATACAGGCGTTTGTCAATGAGAGTTTATAAATATGGCCTGGTTCTCACGAGAGCCCTAGTATCCGGATCGGGAGCTAACCGTTAGCGCTAACCGTTAGCACCTGCGTGAGAACGCCCGATCGGTTAGCGCTAACCGTTAGCGGTATCCGGATACCCTAACGGTTAGCAAGCGCTATCGGTTAGCAAGTTGAGGGCGTTTCTATCATCAACCAATCACACGTACGCGTTTACAATTTCCAGTTTCTTATTGGCCAGTGATTCGATCATCATATTGTTGGTATCCGGATTGGGATTTTCTCGCATGGACCCACGGCAGCTAACGGTTAGCAGGATTCGGATCCTGCTAACCGTTAGCTGCCGTGTGAGAACATAAACTATATCTCATATCAGGAGTCAACATTTTGTGACATTAGCCTGGTTCTCACGAGAGACCTAGTAACCGGATCGGCAGCTAACCGTTAGCGTTAACCGTTAGCACCTGTGTGAGAACGCCCGATCGGTTAGCGCTAACCGTAGCGGTATCCGGATACCGCTAACGGTTAGCAAGCGCTATCGGTTAGCACGTTGAGCGCGTTTCTACCATCAACCAATCCCACCTACGCGTTTACAATTTCCAGTTTCTTATTGGACAGTGATTCGATCATCATATTTTTGGTATCCGGATCGGGATTTTTTCGTATGGACGCACGGCAGCTAACGGTTAGCAGGATCCGGATCCTGCTAAACGTTAGCTGCCGTGTGAGGACATAACCATTATTATACGCACGTGCGCCATGACGTGCGCGTACGCAAGAGTAAATCTTAAAAAATGCTTTAAAAAACAACTGAATTAGCGTATACTTTAGGTCATTTTAGGCATTAAAAAAATTGTTCAATCCGCACCGCGCGCACTTCCTGGAGGTCAAAGTGCAGCAGATCACCCTAACTTGTCCTCAGTGACGAGTTCAAATCTAGTTGAAAATTGTGAATGTTCAATTTGGAAAGAATGTCCTTAAACAATACTTACATTTAGATAGTTTGTGTTTCTTATAACCTTAGCCAGATTGTCCATTCTTGATTCTTCTCCACCAACTGAAGAGGAAACTGAGACCGAATCATAATAAGTTGAAGATAATCCTCGCAACTGTGCAGCCGGATTATGTACCACGATTCCGCTGGCCAGACTTTTACGATGAGCCAACACCATGGTTTTTCGCCTCCGCATAAAGATAACAATACAGAGTCCAAGCAGGACGAACAGTAGTATTCCAATAAAAGTGCAGCATATTATAATCACTATGATCATTACTCTATCATTACTTCTTTCTAAAAGAAACAAAACGTTATTACCCTGTAGGAAAGGTTATAATATTCTACAGCAGCAGCAGGTTTTTGCCTATGGAGGCACATGAATAAGGAATAAGTAGTCAGTATGTCACATAATATGAACCCTTAATTTTACAAATTTATAATTTCGTGACCAATGATTTTATAGCTTTTACTGGCTTCGCATAACATTCACTAGCTTACGACAAAACACAGAGTCGTGGCAAAGATGAGGCTGGGGAGCCGCCTAATAACAGCCTTAATTAACATCGGCGCTGGTTCGAACCGCTCCTCAAGTTTTCTGGGATAAGTACATAAATGCTAGTTCAGTGTACACATCAGGCTCGTATGCACTTTAAAAAAACAATTGCATCTTTCAGAAGAGGGGGGGGGGCGCTATACCCCTATGCTATGGGTCATTTAAGCCTCTGTCGTTGTGGAATGATATGAGCATGTAGCTACTACTATAAGCTCCTCTTTACGGCAGCTGGGCAGTTATAACGGATCATGCTCATACGATTAGCACAATGACGCTGTAGTTATGGGTTTTTCTGTACGTTTTCCCTTTTCCTACCGTGTCTACACTACTCTGTTGTCCTTTAAATTATATCTCTAACAGAAATAGCTCTTTCTCAAATCCAAACAATTCCTTAAAGTAACACTGGATGCTGACTGATTGAATGTTAACGAATATTAAACAGGCCACATAGACATGTGGACACCTTACCAGGCAGATCAAGCACATGGTTCATATTAAAAAAAAAGTTGAATTTGCAAGTTTAAACTCTGCTATGCTTTTAAGTTAAAAGAGAGTTATATAACTGGTAATAGGTTGCTCGTAGCATCCAAAAACTAATGTGCACGTAGACAGTTAATATGATTTAGGCCGAATAAAACACAAGTGACGTTTGTGTGACAATCATTATTTTCTTTTAATTTTCATCAAGTTAGATTTTGTGTTGATCACTTTAGTTATCAAACATACCCGTATGATTTTAATGCCACAGCAGTATCACACTGCTAACATTATTGAGAATTTTAAGTATCAACACATTCCGGTGGCCTTTTTTTGGTCAACATAATAATATTCATAGGCCTATTACTTTGTTTATGTAACTACATTGTTCTTAAGCTAAATTAGTGTACATACCGTCAACTGTACAACGATCTCCAGTAAAACCCTCCCAACAACTACGAAATAAAATTTTGGAAAACAATAATTAACAATTATTGAAATCGCCATGATACTCTTGGCGCTGATTAAGATTACAAAAGTATATCATCATTCATCGTTATCATCATCGTCATAATCATAATCACCATCACCATCATCATCATTATCATCTTCATCATGGTTATCACCATCATCGTAATTATTATCATCATCATCACAGTCCATAACTATCACTATCTTTATTATAGTTATCGATATTATCAGCATTATTGCCATCATCATTTTAAGCATCACAATAATCATCACTTTCATAATCATTTCAATCATCATATCTTCAATATGAATAATATGAAAGATATATGAAATATGAAATTAAATACAATTAAGGTAAAGGTACAATGAAGGTGAAAGTGATGAACCATCATCTTTAGTAGCTTGTGTCTGTTAGTGTCAAATAGTTTTACCCAGATTACCGATATACAGATGATATGAAAATACCAAAAGCAATTAAAAAGTTGAAGATGAAGTAATGCTGGTGGTGATGAAGATGATGATGATGATGATGATGATGATAATGATGATGATGATGATGATGATGATGATGATGATGATGACGACGATATGCTGACGATGAGGATGAGGATGATGACGATATTAATAACAGCAAAATAATAAATAACAATAAATAAATTAAATTAACAGAAAAAAATCACCACGATCTTGGGGAATAATGCTCCTAGTAGCAATCGATATGACACAAGGCCTATACCTGCATTTACAAGAAAAAGAAAAGGAAATATGTAGGTAGGCTATACCTGCACACCCTGTCAAGTAAGTCGTCTATTTCACACACACCGTTATTAGTGCAATAATCTTCAGCACAAGTAATCGGCAACACTAAAAAAACAAAATAAATTTAAAAAAAATACCAACATTTTGACTGTTTTCAAAAGTTTTATAATTATTTTAATAATGTAACTTGCCTATCTGTAAACATTACATTATCTAATAAATAAGCCCTAACATCAGACTGTGATTCTTTGAAAAAGATGTACCGTAAAACCTCGAATTGAAGCCCAGTTGGCTTAATCCCGAGATGAAGCCCATCTCGAAATGAAGCCCCTTCTTTAGCTTGAAAATTAGCCTCGAAAAGAAGCCCATCTCAAAATATAATAGTCTTCTTTTCGACATAGCCAGTACATAAGCCTACACTGTGCATGAATTTCAAAAAACAAAATAAATTAAAAACATGCTTGGTTAAACATTAGTTTAGGTAATTTATTTCCAGTTAAATACACTCCTTAATACAGATTGATGTTACAATGACCTTATTTATTGTTTAATTGTACAAATTCTTAAAATTTACAACATTCATTTTGAAAAGAAGCCACCCTCTTTACTTTGCAAAAGTAGTCTTGAAAAGAAGCCCTCTCGAAAAGTACCCCATCTCGAAAAGTAGCCCATCCAAAGTTTGCAAAAAAACAAAAGAAGCCAGGGCTTCAATTCGAGGTTTTACGGTATGTTGCTATTACTACATAATAAAAAAACCAAAAAAAAAAAAACTTGAAAACATTAGGTGTCTATACTTTCAATATACTCTACTTTGATACAATAGTTATTCTCAGGAACCATTATATAGGCCTAGACCCGTTATGGATATAGGCTTACTGCGAGTTCCATGCTTGTGGTGAGTATTAAACAATGTTTCTTTCTTAGGATTTTATGTGGATATCGTTTAAAGAAAACTGTGTAGTTTCAAGGATTTCAAAATATGTAATTCTAAGTACCTATGATGTACATACTGTTATAAGGCCTATGCAGGGATAGTATCTTTATTAAGCTGGGACAGTTTTCAAATTGTGTCATAAAATTCTCAAAGAAACAAATAGAGTCATTATAAAATAAAGCAAAAATATTCTTACCTTCTGGTACATAATCATAATCTAAATCAAGGGTAACACTGAGGTCGTTATCCACTGAAAATAAGCGATCTTCTCTGTCTGCTTCCCCACGGAGTAACTGGAGGAGATCGTCTCCATCCTGAGTTGTTGATGTGAAAAAATCTAATTGATAAACTACGATAATACTGCCCTCCTTGAAGCCAAGTATCGTAGTGGTATAGAAGGTTGTCTTCGTTGATAAAACATTACTATAAATATCGTTTATCTGATGAAACACAAAATATAGAATCCAAAATTGAGCTTGCTGTAACGAATATATATGGTTCATTGTCACGAGGCATTCTTGAGACGTTGTTGAGAAATATTTGATCGAAAATATCATAATGAAATAGGAGGTCCTCACTTTTGAAGGAATGTTAGATAGGACATACGGACCAAATGTTCTGAATTTTAAAGTAATCGAAATTACAAGAGGAGTGTGTATAACGTTTGCTCGGACATGCTCTTTCGGACTTTCTTTTTCTAACTTATGGTCATTGAATAAGATTTTTAAAGAGAAAGTATTCAAATAAATAATTTTTTTTTCCAGCTTTAGTGAAAAGCAGGTTGAGGAGAGGCTACATGTGAATACTTAAGCACAAGGCAAATATGAAGATCAACGGTGCTATTTCGTCAGGCGTAGTGTGTTGAATATACTCATTTTTGTAATGTTTTTGTGTCTTGTTTGGATTTCAAGATTCAAGTAGGCCTACGGTAGTGAACTGATAACAGGTGAAACAACTGAAGAATGATACACATATGAAACGCTACAGTCATTAGGGTGAATTTTTTTTGGGATATGGACCACTTGATAAAATGCGTAGTAACGTATACAAACTAAAATGTAGGCGAAAGTTAAATGAGGCAGTCCAACCGACTCACACTTCAGTGATGGTGACAGTTTGGGAGACCCCTACAC